TGAGGCGGCCCCGGCCCCCTGCGCCGAGCGGCCTCCGGGCAGCGGCTGCCCCGGGCTGTCCTCGGCCGCCGCCAAGGCGCCGCAAGCCTCGGCCATGAAGAGGAGCGACCCGCACCACCCGCAGCACCGGCACCGCGACGGCGGCGAGAGCGGCGGCGCCGCGGCCGAGGCGCTGGTGAGCCCCGACGGCACCGTCAGCGAGGCGCCGCGCACCGTCAAGAAGGTAACGGGGGCGGCGGCGGCGCGGAGCCCTCCCGGCGGGCCCGGGCCGTGGGGTGCCGCTGTGGGGGTGCCCCGGGCTCGGGGGGTGTCGGTGAGCCGGGGGTGCTCCGCGGCTCTGCTTGCGTTTTGGGGAGGTGTTGTGCCGTGCCTGGCGGCGCGTTTGCGTCTCGTCCCTCCCCGCTGCCGGGTTTGTGCACTGGGGACGTGGGGGGTGACGCTGGGTGCCCTTGCACCCCATTTCTGCACCCCCAGGTGACACTGGGTGCCCTTGCACCCCATTTCTGCAGCCCCAGATGACGCTGGGTGCCCTTGCACCCCATTTCTGCACCCCCAGGTGACGCTGGGTGCCCTTGCACCCCATTTCTGCAGCCCCAGGTGTCTCTGGGTGCCCTTACACCCCATTTCTGCAGCCCCAGATGACACTGGGTGCCCTTGCACCCCATTTCTGCAGCCCCAGATGACACTGGGTGCCCTTGCACCCCATTTCTGCACCCCCAGGTGACACTGGGTGCCCTTGCACCCCATTTCTGCACCCCCAGGTGACGCTGGGTGCCCTTGCACCCCACACCTGCAGCCCCAGGTGACTCTGGATGGGTTTGCACCCCATTTCTGCACCCCCAGGTGTCTCTGGGTGCCCTTACACCCCATTTCTGCACCCCCAGGTGACTCTGGATGGGTTTGCACCCCATTTCTGCACCCCCAGGTGTCTCTGGGTGCCCTTACACCCCATTTCTGCACCCCCAGGTGACACTGGGTGCCCTTACACCCCATTTCTGCACCCCCAGGTGTCTCTGGGTGCCCTTACATCCCATTTCTGCACCCCCAGGTGACACTGGGTGCCCTTGCACCCCATTTCTGCACCCCCAGGTGTCTCTGGGTGCCCTTACACCCATTTCTGCAGCCCCAGGGTGTGTGCAGGTTCACATCAGGTTCACGTTCCCAGGGTTATCTGGGGAATGTGGGGAAGATAAAAACGTCCCAGGTGCCACCGGTGACGTTGGCATGGGCAGCAGGGCCAGGTGTGCCCACGGCTGGGTGTGGGGTGTGTCGGGGGTGGATTTTGGGGTGCCCCTCTCCCAGGGGTGCCGTGGCCTTGCAGCTGCAGCCCAGATGTGTGAGGAGCTGTGGATCCTGGCGAGTTCCTCCGTGTGTCTGCAGCTCCTCAGGTGGACTCCGCTGCTCCCTGGAGCAGGGGGGTTGTTGTACCTGCTGTGCGTGCAGGGAAATGCATTTTTCCCCTGATTTTTGGCGTCCTTCCCGTTGGAAATCTCACGGGAATGAGCTGTCCCCTGTGAACCTTGTGAAACAAGCGTCCCTGTCCTAAGGGAGCCTCTCACCTCATGAAATTTTGGGGTGAAAAGTTGCATCCCCTCCCCTGCTGATGGATTTCCACCCTCTTTTGGGGTTGCTCTCAAATTTCCTCTCCCCTTGCAAGGCCCAGGGTGAGGGGGTTTGTCTCCAGAGCCGTGGCTTCCCTGAAATTCCAGTTTCTCCTTGGAAGGAGCACATCCCTGTGGGGCAAGGTCTGGATCTCAGTTTCTTCATCCCCCTGAAATCCCTTTTTTAGGGTCAGGAGGGGGTTCAGCTGCTCACTAAAGGTGATTTTCCCTCTGAGATCCTGACTCCCATCCCCAGTGTTTGGAGTCCTTTCTCCTGGATATCCTAATCCCATCTCTATTTTTAGACACCCTCAGGGTATCCTTTTTTTTTCCCCTTAAATTTGCTTAAACTCTTCATCCCACCCCTTTCCATTCTTTTTTTTGGGTTAAACCAAAAAAGGGATTTCACCCTTTTTTCAAAGGGAACCTGAAACAGCTTCAAACCTGCATCATTCCCTGGCTGCTCCCTGGAATTCCACAGGATTCCCAGCTGGATCCCTCTGGTTGGGATGTGCTGCTGGAGAGGATCTGGGAGTACAAACTGTTTTTCTCCTCCTTTGCTCAGCCACCCAAACCTTTCATTCATCCAGGTCCTCTCCTCCTCAGGAGGAGTCAGTGAAAGAAATCATGTTCAATAAAATCATATGCAATATCCTGCTCTTATTGGAATAAAACCAAAATTTGGGAACCATCAGATTGTCCCCAGGCCTGTGGCTGTAAAATTGGGCACGTGGAGCTGAAGCATCTGGTGAAAGGAGGTTTGGAACAAAAATAAAGAGAATTTTTTTACTCATATCCAACAGAAATTTGCTGAAATAGAGGTAAAAGTCTAATAGAAATAGATGAAATTTGTAGTGGAACTGTGATCCTTCTGAGTGTTTGGTAAAAACAAAATCTCACTGGTTTTTTCATGGCTGGTTTATATAAATATATTTTTCTTGGGGCTTTTTGGGATTTTTTTCCTTTCCTTGGAATTCTAACACCCATCCTTGAGATACTGCACCACAATATTGTGATTTTGCAGTTCTGAGGCAAAAAGAGTTCCCAGAAAATTGCAGCGACTCTTTTCCTCTTTTCACTCTCATTTTAAATCTTCTTTTCTGTCAGTCCAGCCTTTTATTGATCTGTCTGCCTTTAGGTGTTCTGATTTGTATTTCACCTTGGTGTGGTGTAAAACAGGAAGCAATAGATGGGGTAGGTGATATTTTTATATATATTTATATTTATATGCAGGCATTATAGATGGTGCTGTGCTTTGCCACCTGCAGAGATCAGATCTTGGGGAAAATCCCTGGAATTGTTGTTCCCTTTGGGTTCTTGCTGGAAATGCTGGAATTCCTCATTCCTGAGGTGAAATTTTGCAGATGAAAACCCAAGAAAACTTAAATTTTATCAGATTCAGGCCTTGATTGAATGGTTGTGAAGTGACAACTCTGTAAAGAATGGTGGAATTATGGGATGGGTTGGGTTGGAGGGGACCTTAAAACCCATCCAGTTTTGACCCCTGCCACAAGAAAAACTTGGATTTAATCACATTCAGATTGATGTAATGATTGTGAAGTGACAGCTCCGTGCCCCTTTCTTCAGCTGGGTGAAGAATCACAGAGTGGGTTGGAAGGAACCTTAAACCCCATCCTGTTGTGACCCTCAACCACAAGAAAAACTTCAATTTAATCAGATTCAGGCCTTGATTTAATGATTTTAAAGTGACAACTCTGTAAAGAATGGTGGAATGATGGGTTGGGTTGGAGGGGACCTTAAAGCCCATCCAGTTCTGACCCTCAGCCACACTAAAACATAAATTTTGGCAGATTCAGGTCTTGATTTAATGGTTGTGAAGTGATGACTGTGAAGAGTGGTGGAATCACAGGATGGGTTTGGTTGGCGGGGACCTTGAAGCCCATCCACTTTTGACTCTCAGCCACAAGAAAAACTTCAATTTAATCAGATTCAGATTGACTGAATGGTTGTGAAGTGCCAGCTCCGTGCCCCTTTCTTCAGCTGGGAGAAGAATCCCAGAGTGGGTTGGAAGGAACCTTAAACCCCATCCAGTTATGACGCTCAACCACAAGAAAAACTTCAATTTAATCAGATTCAGATTGACTGAATGGTTGTGAAGTGCCAGCTCCGTGCCCCTTTCTTCAGCTGCGTGAAAAATCACAGAGTGGGTTGGAAGGAACCTTAAACCCCATCCAGTTCTGACCCCTGCCACAGGAAAAATTTAAATTTAATCAGATTCAGCTTGATTGAATGGTTGTGAAGTGCCAGCTCCGTGCCCCTTTCTTCAGCTGGGTGAAAAATCACAGAGTGGGTTGGAAGGAACCTTAAACCCCATCCAGTTCTGACCCCTGCCACAAGAAAAATTTAAATTTAATCAGATTCAGCTTGATTGAATGGTTGTGAAGTGCCAGCTCCGTGCCCCTTTCTTCAGCTGGGAGAAGAATCCCAGGCTGGGGAGGGAATTCCCTCCCATCCCCACAAATGCCGGCTGCTCGCTGGGCTGCCACATCACCTGAGGTTTTTCTGCTCCCACTATAAATGACTCTCATGTGGCTCCTCGGAATGATGGCTCTGACCTTGCTTCCCGGCAGATTTCACCTGCTTTTTCCCCTGGAAATTCCCACTTTGTTTTCAGGCACAGGAATGAGGGGTTTTCAGCTCTGTTAAGGATTTTTTTCCTCTTTTATTTCCCTTCTGCCAGGTGATAAATGCTTCTCCCCCCCGCGGCTGAATTCCCAGGAAATGCAGGGAATGAGCACGGCTGGAATGCTCTTTAGGAAAACCTTCCCAGGGGAGGGGGAGAGGCAAATTCTTTAATTTGGTGTGATAATCTGAACGGATCCGGGTTAATTTGAGCGGGTGCCTGCGTGGAACCGAGTGCAAGGATCAATCCATGGCGCTGAGGAGCGGGAGATGAAAAAGGAGAGGGAAATAAAAATGGGATGAGGAAGGAACCTTGGAACTGGGAATGGCCACGCTGCCCTTTGCCAGGGGCTGTGGCACCGGGATCTGTTCCTGTGGTGGGTCAGAATTCCAGAATCACACCAAGTTCTTCCTGCTGGGGCTTTCCTTGTTGTCTGTTTTCACTTCTTGGGGTACACACAACGAAGCAAAAGCTTGTAAAAAACCTTGGCAAGTGTAGTGGTTTTGGTTTGTTAATTTAAGGTTTTGTTTTTTTTTTTTTTTTTTAAGATTTTTTTTGGTTAATGTATTCAAGAGTGTGGTGGCTTTTGGTGTTGGTTAATTATTAATGTATTTACTTTTTGTTGTGAGATAGGATTCGGAGAAAGGTAAAGTAGGTTTAAAATTTTAGAAGGGTATAAAGAAAATTTTATTAATAGTTTCTGGGTTTGTTTTCTCTTTAACATGTGTTTTTCACAGAAGCATGTCCAGTTTTTTAATGGTTGGAAGCTTTGTATCACTTTTTAAAATGTCTCTCATGCAAAACTATGACAGCAAGTATGATTGATTGTTTCCCCTGTGAGTGCAGAAGCCAAAACTGTGCTTGAAAAAGTATCTACAGACACGTGAATATTTTAAAATTTTCTAAAATACGGGTATTTGGTAATATCTGTTTGCCGTAGTTGTAAAGTTTGCAGCCATTGAGGGTCGACAGCTGTGG